AACGTGCTATGTTGTTTCATGTTTCACTAAACTAAGCCGAGGCAGTTTATTCCTCAACAGAAGGTTTGTGAGCAAAGTGAGGGGTCAGATTTGTGTGAGAGAAGATACACACCAGCACGGAGGGTGGCTAGAGCAGCTTTGGAGGAGGAGAGCAGACAGAGCTCTCCTTCCACTTAGAGAGAATAGTGTGTGTGTGTGTGTGTGTGCGTGTGCGTGTGTGTGTGTGTGTGTGTGTGTGTTTCCTCCTCCCTCCCTCTCAGTTCCTTTTCAACTAGGGGTAGGAAACTTACTGTGCTTCTCTGTGGAATCATCATGGCCCAAAGTTGGGGTGTAGTGGGGGAAAGAAAAGGAGAAAGAAAATACAGGAGGGGGGAGAGGAAGACTAGAGCAACCCCTTGTACATTAACAGGTAAGTGGGTTGGCAATTATATTGTAGCTAGAAAAAGAATGCTGATAGGTGTGCAACAAGGTGAACAATTCTCTGATTATGCTAAAGTCAGGGGTGGTGGCTGCCTTCTGGAGTCCAGCACTTGGGTGGCTTGGAAGGAGGGGGTCCCTGCAGGATTGAAGCCAGCCTGGGTTACATATGGAGACTTTGTCTCAAAATAACCAAAAGGTGTGCATTGGCTTGCAGCTCTACCACTTGTTGTATGATCCCAGAGGAGCCATTTAAGCTCTCCAAGGCTGTTTCCATCATCTCTCACATAAAGACAACGATGAAACATACCTTAAAGGGTAGCAGTGGAGAGGAAACAGGCCATAATGGAAACCACTAAGCAGAGGGCTGGGCGGGCAACAGTCAAACGGTCAATAAGTTCAACTAGGGGAAGGAAACTTACTATGCTTCTCTGTGGAATCATCATGACCCAAAGTTGGGGTATATCTAAAAGTTAGGGGAAAGAAAAGGAGAGAGAAAGTACAAGAGTGGGGAGAAGGGCTAGGGTGATTATTTTTGTAGCAATTATTGTTAAGCAAGGAAAGCAAATAAATGAGAGAGAAGTTCAATGCAAGATCTCACTGCACTGATCTCACTGCACTGATCTCACTGCACTGATCTCACTGCACTGACCTCACTGCACTGATCTCTCTCACTGCACTGACCTCACTGCACTGACCTCACTGCACTGACCTCACTGCACTGACCTCACTGCACTGACCTCACTGCACTGACCTCACTGCACTGATCTCACTGCACTGATCTCACTGCACTGACCTCACTGCACTGATCTCACTGCACTGACCTCACTGCACTGATCTCACTGCACTGATCTCACTGCACTGATCTCACTGCACTGGTCTCACTGCACTGATACTTTCTCCTCCAGGGTTAAAACACCAGAGTCTTTTAATACCCTCTTCACCTGTGTCTGCCACAAGACCATCAAACAAGCACGGGAAGAGCCCCAAACAAGCCACCAAGCCTCTTGTGCTGGTGAGAGGTTCTGACCTGGTGAAATACTTCTCCCACAACCCCTCCCTCTGGCAAGATAAGCTCAGTTGGCTGGAGCTGTGGTCTCTGGGATGGAAAGTCAGTCTCCTCAATTCCATTCTCAAGGTTAGCCACTGCCTTTCTGGATATGCATGCAGGGTGCATTCTAAAGCAGAGGGGGTGGTGTTGAAGGCGTGGACACTTCAACCCCTCTTCCCAAACGAACAGAGAGGGTCAGGGTTTTCGGGGAGCAATTCTACTTTCTCAAGTCCTGTAAAACCAAACTGGGGACTTACTCTCTAAACAGTTTATGAGGAAAGGCAGTGCTATTCCTCTTTTCCCTTAGCTATAAAACGGGAGCTAATAACAGGACTTACTCCATAAAGTTCCCTGTGAAGATCAAATGAGCCAGTATGCTGGAAACGCTTAGAACACTCCCTAGCACACCAAGCGTTCTGCGAGTGTTGGCTAAACTTTACCAATGATTTTATTTCACTTTCTCTTGTTTGTAATACTTTTTATTTGTGGTCATATATTTCTCAATTACAAGGCATTAACAATAGCTGTGTCATAGAATATTCCAGCCCCAATGCACCTCTGAAGTAATGTTCAGCTAGGAACAGGTGTGTGTTTTAATGTACTGGGGGATTGAACCTAAGGCCTCAGTGCATTCTGGCTAAACCTTCTGAGCTACACCCCCAAGCTCTGACTAATGGCTTATAAATCCTTCAAATTAGAGGCACTCAGCTTTTCCACAGACCCAACCACAAATGGTGTATCTGTTCATTTTATTTTTTTTTTTGAGAAAATGAATTGCACAGAAAACAATCCAGCAAAGATTGGAAACTGATAACTTTATTAATGATAACAACAGCGTCTGCAAACTTGAAAATGCACATGCAGTAAATAGCATTTATTCTGTCCGTGAATGACAATGTCTGGAACTCTTTTTTGGATTCACAAAGCTCCTGCAATCAGCTCCAGGAACCTTTACCATAAAGCAGAACAGAGAAAGTGACCAGAACATCAAGTATCTTCACCAACAAAATCAAGACTTCAAAGGGAAAACGTGGTATGCTACACTCCACAAAAGAAAACCAAGGCTGTGTGGTCTGCAGGTAGGAGACAAGAGCGGGCAGTGTTGGCCCATGGGTCGGCCAGCCGGCCAACCCATTTAGCTTCTGTTAATTTCACTATTCACTCGATAACCCATCCTGCAGAGCCCCCTGCAGTGTAAATGATAGGGTCGACTGTAAATTGAAAGTTCATCTCAGTAGAGAACAACAAGGAATAGGGATAGTGGTGGCAGTAAAAGTCTGTCCCCCCACCCCCACCCCAAGGCCAATACTCTCGATTTAATGAAATTCCAAGAGCTTACTCTAAATTGGCAAAATTAAGGGAACTATTACTGCCAGCCAAACACACACACACACACACACACACACACACACACGAACATAAACATGTGGCCTACGAGCCGGGGTCCAGCTAGTCCAATAACGGCTGTCTACCAATGGAAGGTCCAATAATCCAGTAGTTGTTCAGTCCACAAGGCTGGATGTCTCAGCTGGTCTTTAGTGTATGCCCGAATCCTGAAGAAGTGGGCTCTAACACCAGTTATGGACTAGACGTGCCATCTAGTCCAAGCAGGCTAGAACAAGCTTCTTCATGTCCTTAATAGAAGCTGTCAGCAGGTGTGGCCCAGATTAAAGATGGAAAAGATCCAGATTAAAAGTGGTTCTTCTCACTTCAAATTATGGAATTGAGGGGAAAAAAAAATCCCTCACAGGTATACCCAGATGCTTGTATTGACAACCAAGAACAGCCACCACAGTAAGTATAACTAAAGACAAACTTGGGAAAAGAATCCCCAAAACATTTCCGTTCCAGCATGTCTTCACATACATCAAATGGACAAGGCCCCTGCCCCTCCCCAGCTTTAATATAAAAATTAACTCAATAATTTTAAAAGCAGTGATATAAGAATTAATTCAATAAGTAATTTTTAAAAGTAGCATCTGCTGTGGTTAAGGCATTGGTGGGCTCTGGAGGTGTAAAAATGTCAGGCCAGCTTGACCAGCAACAGTGTAAACAAAAAGCAAAGGGAACTTCAGACAACTGCTCGAGGAGACTGGACAGGATGGAAAAAGCTAATTCCTGAGTGTGTGGATTAGAAAGATCGCTTCATGAGCCCAGAGAGAAAAGCAGCAGTATCCTTGCGGTAACTGGCACTGCAGAGGTTAACGCAAAGTATTAAATGGAAAAAACAAAAACAGAACAAAACAAAAAAAGCAAGCCACGAACAGAGATTGAAATGCTTGATAGAGAACCACAACAGACTTCTACCAAACTCGCAGCAACGCGGAACGTTTGTGTTTGTAAATCAGTAAATTAGAGGGACACCGCCCTAAGTACCCGTAACCGCTGGTGCCCAGGACACAAGTAAAGGGACAGAGCGGTTTCAATTGTAGATGGTACCTAGCATTCATCGACACAGACTGAGCAGTGTCCTGGAGCCCTAATCGCCAAGGTAAGGAAACCACCTCACCTTAAGTCGACAAGTAAAAAGCACCTGGACACAACAGTCTAGAACACGAAAGCAGGGCCCACAGACCCGCCTCCATTATCCTAGTCTAAAAAGAACTCCAAGAAACTAAGTAGGGTGCAGCTAACTGCAAACCAGATACCCACAGGGCAACTCAAAACCACAAAGGCTTAAAACTTTAGTGTACCTTTTCCAAGACCGTTAAAGTAACTTTGGAATAGGAACTAGAAACTAATGCAAGTGGACAAAGCTCTCTTCTGATTTGAGCGGGTAACTGCAAGAGCCTTTAAAGACCAAAAGGACAAGCGAGCGTCTCATCCAGAGGGGCCTCTACTTGGCGCTGGCGTACTTGGTGACGGCCTTGGTGCCCTCCGACACAGCGTGCTTAGCCAGTTCTCCAGGCAGTAGGAGGCGAACCGCGGTCTGGATCTCCCGCGATGTGATTGCAGACCGCTTGTTGTAATGCGCTAAGCGAGAAGCTTCCGTTGCGATGCGCTCCAAGACGTCATTGACAAACGAGTTCATGATGCCCATGGCCTTGGACGAGATGCCCGTGTCCGGGTGCACCTGCTTCAGCACTTTGTACACATAGATGGAGTAGCTCTCCTTGCAGCTACGCTTGCGCTTCTTGCCGTCTTTCTTTTGCACCTTGGTGACAGCCTTCTTGGAACCCTTCTTGGGAGCTGGGCGGATTTGGCCAGTTCAGGCATGATTGAAAGCAAATACTGGAAAATAGTCTAGTAAGTAGAAAAACAATCAGAGACCGGGAGGACCTAAGCCCTTTATGATCGCCTTATGCAAATTAGGTCTCAAAGTACTTTTAATTTCCATTGGCCCATACGCGAAACTTGCGTTTTCAGGACAAGCCTAAAATTTCAGATTTCATTGGACTTCTCTGAGGCCAAATAACAACCAATGAAAAGCTCCCTCCTGACCCCACCCCTAGGAACGCCTATAAAGGCCTTAGAGAGGACCCAACCTAGCTTTGTAGCAGTTGTCACCTCGATACTCTTATTATACACTTAAGTTATGTCCGGCCGGGGCAAACAAGGAGGCAAGGCCCGCGCCAAGGCCAAGTCACGGTCGTCCCGCGCCGGGCTGCAGTTCCCGGTGGGGCGCGTGCACCGGCTGCTGCGCAAGGGCAACTACGCGGAGCGCGTGGGCGCCGGCGCGCCGGTGTACATGGCGGCCGTGCTGGAGTACCTCACGGCCGAGATCCTGGAGCTGGCCGGCAACGCGGCCCGCGACAACAAGAAGACCCGCATCATCCCGCGCCACCTGCAGCTGGCCATCCGCAACGACGAGGAGCTCAACAAGCTGCTGGGTAAAGTGACGATCGCGCAGGGCGGCGTCCTGCCCAACATCCAGGCCGTGCTGCTGCCCAAAAAGACGGAGAGCCACAAGGCTAAGAGCAAGTGAAATTCACACAAATTCAAAAAGGCTCTTTTTAGAGCCACCAAGTCTTCATAGAAGGAGCTAACGCGCTAGTGTGTGACCAGCCCTTTGGTTGACACTTTGGTGGCTCTTAAAAGAGCCTTTGTGTATGGAGAAAGGATAATAGTTATTTATTCTTTCCAGGCTTATGACTCTCCGTTTTTTTCGGTAGTAAGACAGCCTGGATATTGGGGAGGACCCCGCCCTGGGCAATGGTGACTCCTCCTAGTAACTTGTTGAGCTCCTCATCGTTCCTCACAGCGAGCTGCAGGTGGCGCGGGATGATGCGGGTCTTCTTGTTGTCGCGGGCCGCGTTGCCGGCCAGCTCCAGGATCTCGGCCGTCAGGTACTCCAGCACGGCCGCCATGTACACCGGCGCGCCGGCGCCCACGCGCTCCGCGTAGTTGCCCTTGCGCAGCAGCCGGTGCACGCGCCCCACCGGGAACTGCAGCCCGGCGCGGGACGACCGCGACTTGGCCTTGGCGCGGGCCTTGCCTCCTTGCTTGCCACGGCCAGACATGGCGGAATAGGCAATAACTGCTGCTTTCTCAAGGCAAGGATATGGAAAGGTGAAGCAATTTGATGTAATTTATAAGATCTATCGGGAGGGGTGAAGGAAAAGTAGTTCGATTGGCTTAAAATGGAGCTGTCTCCAGCAGCCAATGGGAGAGCAGAAACTAGACTCAGTGGTTTACATCCTGTAGTACAGGAAATGACGGACTTTTTGAAAAAGGAATTTACCAATCGCTGAGAGCCATATTTAAAGGCCCCTGCAGGATTTTTAAGAATTTCGTGGAGCAATTTAGTGTAGCAACTTACAGAGGTTTGTTTTGTTTGCCCAGTTTAGAGCTAAAAGATCTAAACAATCAAGAGCACAAAACGCGAGTCACTCCCCTTGAAGTATGGAATTCTGCTCTGGGCGCCCCCGACCCCGGAGCTTTAAATTAATCTCCAAGGCTCATCTTTGCTGTCTCACACAGGCAAGCCCCGCAAAGGAATTAATGAGGTTGTTTCCCTTCTTTACTCTTGTCAGTGACTCGCCCCCTTCCCCATCTTTGCTCTTGAGTCGTTTGACCAAGAGCTAGATGACATTGTATCATCCTCTTTGACCTCTAGGAGGCGTCTGTCACCATCTTTTCCCTCTAGCTTTCAAGATCTTTTTTTGATCTTTCCTTGGATTTTCTTTATCCTGCTCCGGTTCTCTCCCCACTTCTAAATCCACGAGTTCAGCTGAATTGTCCTATACCCAGCTCTTAACTCTGGGGAGGCTTACAAGCTTCCAGCTAATTCAGATTAGCTTCACAAGCTCAGACTCCGGTATTGGACGTTTACTAGATGTTTAATTCGTTTGTCTCAACAAGCGTATAGCATCTGAACATGAACTCTGCATTCCTCTGCCCTCTCCCAAGAATTGCATTCACAAACTTTCAGGTACGAAGATAGACTTGATAGTCAAGATACTAATCTTGCCTTTGTCACAACAGTGTATCCTGTCATTTGCTTCCTTAATATCAAATTACCTGTGTCCACTTCGTATTCCTCCCTAAGATTACACTGAAAGCCCCAAATTAATAGTTTTGTCTGCAGACCCTGTCTAGAGCGATGGTCTCCCACCCCTACCTCTACCCTAGCACCTTTCTTTTAAAATCTTTAAGCCCTTTGTTTCTTCCCAGGGTCTTGTCAGGCTTCCCTTAGTAATCCTATGAAGGCAGGATGATTATTAAAGAAAATAATATAGTTTAATTCTACCCTTTTTGATTCTTTGTCACCCTTATAAGTTTTTCATCTTTAATATTCTTTGTCATCCTCATTTCTTTGGGGGTTTATTTATTTTTATTTATGTATGTGTTCTGTCTGCCTGGTGCCAATGGTGGGCAGGACCTCTAATCCCCTGGAACTAGATGGCTGTTAGCCATCATGTTTGTGTTGGGAACTGAACCTGGGTCCTCAATGGCTATTGAGCCATCTCTCTAGACCCTCCACCAGCACTTACTAAATGTGGACCACTGCCAAATGAACATGAGTCTTGAGACTCGTAAAACAAAATCCTTGATGAAGTGTCTAGAAACAGCAGAAGGCTAGTGAATTACACTAATTAAATTACTTATTGATTATTTGTTTGTTTGTTCGTTCAAGACAGGGTTTCTTTGTATAGCCTTGGCTTCCTAGAACTTGCTTTGAAGGCCAGGCTGGCCTTGAACTCAGTGATTCATCTGCTACCTGCCATTGCCTCCCAAGTGCTGGTATTAAAGGCCTGCACCACCACCACCCCACAGTTAATGTTAGCTATATGCAGAAATTAGTCCTAGGGAAAATATTGTTATTTACTTGGGTAATGCCCAAATCCAGTCATAGAGCATGAGGCCACAAATCAAAACCCAGCATTTAGAAGGTTGGGTAATGAGTACTGCCAAGAGTTCAAGACTAGCCTGTGCTAGCTAACAAAGGTGTTTCCTCAGTAAGTATAATGTAGTATATAATTCAGAAAATAATTCTAATCTTTTTTTTGATCATTTCATTTTAGAAACGAATGAGTTTATAGAAAGGTCTGATTCACAGGGTTCATAGGTGGCGTTTATGTGGGAATATGTTGTGTTTTTCCAACATTCACAATATATATAGAAAGCTCTTGCAAAGGAAATGGGTTCAGTTCCAATCACCCATATGCTAGCTCACAACCACCTGTAACTCCACCTCGCACTGTGGAGCACCAGGAGTACATGCAGGTAGACAAAATACTCAGATACCTAAGACAAATGGAGGTGGTGGTGCTCGCCTTTAAGCCTAGCACTCAGGAAGAGGTGGAACTCTGAGTTTGAAGCCAGCCTGGTCTACAGAAGGAGTTCCAGGATGGGCTACACAGAGAAACCCTGCCTGGAGTTCTGGGTAGGGAGATGGAGCCTGTTAAGGGAACTGTATCAAATTCTGGAAGTTACAGTTTCATTCTAACTATTCTTAAGTTTGCAGGGTATTTTGTTGGCATTAAATAGCCTTTCCACTATGCAAGTTCTTACAATATCAACTTTTGAGGCATTTGGGGCTAAGAACAAACCCCAGATAACAGGAAAATCCCTGGCATCTTGTGAAGCACAGCTTGAAGGGCCAGTGAGTCCTCTCCTGACCTCTGGTTTTCTTCTCAGTGACCTGTTTTGTGAAGAAGGCTGAAGGGACAGAGACTGCTGATCCCAAATGTGATGCCCCCTGTGCTATAGGCCATCCAAAAGTAGGTATAATCTTCTGTTTCGTGGCTAAAGAAAACAAAAGGGCTCGGGGATTTAGGCCTTGTTCAAGGTCTGTAGTCCCTCCTCACTAACCCAGTTTTTGAGACTCAGAATATAGTCTTTATAACTATATTCATAATATTTTACTAACCAGATACTGGACACAATGAAGTCACTTCCCCACCATTACTTTACTCTATAAAGGAGAATTTTGAGATTTTAAATTCCATACAAAACCTTATTAGATAAGTCTACCTAGGCCAGTGGTAGTCTACCAGGCTCCATAGCTGTCTATTGCTCCCTAGAGCTCCCTTCCCCGCATTGTAACCAGAGCCTTCCTAGGACAGACAAGCCGGCCTTTTGTAGAGTACACACATCACAAACAGGCTGGCTGGTGCTTCCTTTACCTCTGGGATTGTTTGCTAAGGGCAGTGGAGTTCCTTCCCAAACCGTTTAATTAAGCAAACATTTATTTAACGCTCTCCCTCTAGTCCCTCCCCTCCTTTCCCCTCCTTTCCCCTCCTTTCCCCTCCTTTCCCCTCCTCTCCCCTCCTCTCCCCTCCTCTTCCCTCCCCTCCCCTCCTCTCCCCTCCCCTCCCCTCCTCTCCCCTCCCCT